GGAAGGACGGAAGGACGGAAGGACGGAAGGACGGAAGGACGGAAGGACGGAAGGACGGAAGGAAGGAAGGAAGGAAGGAAGGAAGGAAGGAAGGACGGAAGCAAGGAAGCAAGGAAGCAAGGAAGCAAGGAAGCAAGGAAGAGAGTTGGAGTAGGGCTAAGGAGAGCCAGAGCAGCAAAGAAGAGCGAAGACAGCAGCAAGTCCAGTGAGGTAACTGCTGTCTGCCTGCTTTCAATATGGCAATGTGCATGAGTAGAAGCGTGCCAGACCAAACTCCTTTAGTACCCCGAAACCTTCTCCTTATAAAAGCCCCATACCTTAAGCGTAGTTGACGTGGTTACCTGCAAAAAGTTTGTGGGTATTAATCCGACAAACCCTAAGCCCTAAACCATAATGTAAACTGCCATCCCTTTGGGGGGCGAGGAAGCTCAGAAACGAGGCCTGCGCTTCACAGTCTAAACCTACACCCCCCCCAACCCTCAACCCTACCTGTAGCCCAATAAACCTACCTCTGTAGGGAACTGCTCAAGGCAATCATAGAACCCTGCAGATGTATGGTGTTTAGGGCGCAGGTGAAGCTGAAAACGAGAGCCAGCAACGAGCGCAATGGGCGCCGACGAGGAGGGAAATGGCGAGAGGTGCCTTGCTCAGCGTTTCACCCGGAAGCCAAAACCCCAAATTCTAAACGCTACATCCCATCCCACAACACTGCATTCCTGAACCTAAAGCCTAAACCCTACACCCTAGACCGTTACACTGAGCCCTAAATGCTAAAGCGGGTTCCATGACCAGTAGATTCGAGACTATGACCTATGCGACGTAGCCCGGGAAGAAGCCCTAAACCCTAGGCCCTAGACCCTAAACCCAAAGCAGGGAAGATCAAGGGCATGGTTCCGGGTGGACGGTGGAGGTTTTGTTGTCATTCAGAGTTTATGTCCTATAGGTCCTATAGTTTTGCTAGGATCTCTGTAGGGGGGCGTTTATAGGGTTAGAGGGTGGCCCTAAACCCAAAACCCTAAATAAAATTTGGTTTAGGGTTTAGGATTTAGGGTTTTCGGTTTGGGGTTTAGGGTTTAGGATTTAGGGTTTAGGGTTTGGCAATTTGGGGTTTAGAGTTTAGGGTTTAGGAGTTGTGGGTTGAGTTTTGGGTGGGTAGCTCGGGTCTGTGGTGTTCCGCCTTGTCAGGTCGTGGATTACTTTGAAATGACATCACCTCCCGTAAACGTACATGGACTCTGAAACCTGAGGTCTGACCTAGCATGTTTGGGTTTGGGGACTTAGGGTTTAGGGTTTAGGGTTTAGGGTTTAGGGTTTAGGGTTTAGGGCAGTTTTGGACAGGTGCACCTGCCGGTGTTTCCTGACTGCTGTATTGCAACCTGGTGTCTGATCGGTTAGGCAGACCTCCTCTCTTGGACATGGTGTGGCAAGAACAACTTTGAGAGTTTGATAGAATGGAAGATGCAGAATCGTGTGCATTTGCCGTACCTGTTGGTGTTTGTGTCAGGTTGGATGGTACAGGTATCTGAAGGTCTGTTGCTTCAACTCGCCAACTTCCAGGCTTTCACCTGCTGGGCTTTGCGGTTGGACAGCGCCCTGCAGGGAGCCCACAGACTCCTTGGCCTAGGTTCTAGGTTTGGCGTGCTGAAGAGAGCAACTCCTGCATGACATGCTTCAGGCTGTTGGCTTTACTGTGCGGCGAAGCTCTGAGTCGCTGCCTGATCACCTCGAGCGAGATGCAGCAAGAGAGTGGCGCGAAGAAGGTCAAAATGATCCGGAACTCTGATGGTTGCGAGCAGCTTGCTGCAGGCGAAGTCAGTAGAGCACGAAGGAAAGGCTGCTGCAGCACGCGTCCTTTCACCAAGAACGAAAGGATAGAGAGCTCGGTGAGACTTAAGCAGCGCTGTATATTGCCGAAGTTCTCACCGCAGATCTTCAGCAGCGAATCTTGGCAGTGCCATGGTAGAGCCTTCCGCAAGAGACTGCATGTTAGAGGTCCCCCGGGTGAGCCTGGATCCACAAATTGAAATTTCGAGTGGGACCGTGAGTGTAGACTGACAGACCTCGCACTCCTCACCAGCACGCAAGCTCAGACACAAGAGAAGACTGCGCAGCATTCAGAATCTGACTCAATAAGCTTGACTCATCGAGTATGTGCCTGACCATAAACCGCCACTTCCACTTTGGTTTAGCCAGCATCCTTGCCTGCACCTCAAACCCGGGGTTGCCCAAGCCTCGAATCCGAACCTCGAACCTTCCAGCGCTGCGCTGCGCCATCGCTTCGGAGCGCAATGGCGCTCTCGCTCGGGTGCGCAGGGAGTTGGGGGGCTGACACTATCCACTGCGCCGCGGCAGGTTCAACACCACATGTTTAGGCCAGATGTGGAGTGCTGCGGCCCTTTTGCACGAACACTCTTGCAGTACACAGAATCCTTTGACCAACGAGAACTGGAGAAGATGAAGAGAGCCTTCGACGGTCGGGTCGTGACGATGTTTGATGGATTGAGATGTGGCACCTCATTTTCTGGATTTGATTGCAGCTTCCATAGATGGTTGACCACTAAATCATCGAGTCGGCTATTGAATTGAGACAGGCGTGAGCCAGACGCAGCAACAAACCTCGAAACGCTGTCGATCACGACTAACTCGTTGGCAAAAGGATCGCAAGTACACACTAGCAGAGACTTTGTTTTTGCCGTTGATCTCGATTCAATTGTCATCCAGGTTTTGCCACAATTTCCTGTCGCTTTGTCTCGCTTCTCTCCATCATCCTTCTCTTCAGTGGATTCAGTGGCCCCAGTGTCACCATTATCACGCTAGTCTTCTTCCCCGTCGGCAATTCAAGCAGAAGGGCCTTGCAAGGATCAAGCAAGACTGCATTGGGAGTTCTCCAGGCAGAGTCTGGTGCTCTACCTGTCCTTCATGGTGGCGGCGGCTGCTGGAGCCCTCCTGAGACATTTCCATGAGTGTGCAAGCTTTCAAGATCTCTCCTCGCCTGAAGGGTTTTGGTAAGGATGTTGGGGTTTGAGTTGGGCCAATCTGCGCACACCTCGGTATCTTCTTCCTGCCGAGCACTCCGGCTCAAAGATACATCGTCCAAAGTGGATGCCGAGACCCGTCAAAGTCACGGCAAGCAGCAACCCAACAACCCAGCAACCTCAAAAATCCTCAACTGTTCAAGTGAGAGGCGCCATGGAGAGCTTGCCACTGGAGCAGTTTGCAACTTCCCTGCGACAGCAGGGCTCCAAAAGGCCTTCAATACTTCATTCCAGTGACTCGGCCATGTTCGGAAGGGATCGCAAGGGAGAGCGTAGGTTCTACCATGGCAGAGCTCATTGTCGAAACTTCAATTGCATCGTCTCGCTCTGCTGCATGAGTGAGGCGAGATGATGTTTGTCATGTACACCGTGCCGGCCGACGCTTTCTTGCAGTTGAAAGAAATCAAGACGCACGAGGAGCTGGCAGATGCAGGTGTGCTCACAGAGTTTGATGAGAGCATGGGAAAGGCGATGTTCGTTTCGCACCAGTGGCTGAGCGAGGCGCACCCTGATCCAAACTTCGAGCAGCTGAAAGTCTTGCAGGATGCGCTGATAAATATTGCTTCAGGGAAAAGCCGTGTGAATCTCCCGATAGTCGCCGAGATCTTTCATGGACGATCAAGCTGCCCTACTGCCGACGACTTCGCATGCGGCCATCTTCATGTTTGGTACGATTACTTCAGCATCCCGCAGGACAGTGGTCACCGCGCATCTCGGAGCCGCCAGAGCGCAATCCAGAGCATCCCGGCCTATGTGGCAAGATGCGAGTTCTTCGTCGTGCTGTGCCCGGCTTTCAAGCACAGAGACCAGCAGCGAACTCTGAGCCATTCAACCTGGGGTGAAAGGGGGCAGCCTGGTTGCAATGGTGTCCTGTTCCTTTGACGATAAAAGTGTTAACATTTCATCGTTTTGACCGGTCCCATATCCCACAGTTTCAGGTGGTGTCGCACAGAGAGAGTTGCACGCGAACTCTCGACTCGAAAGGGTGGCTACATCATCGTTGTAGAGAGTGCGACGCACCAGACACTGATGTGGGCAGGGAGCAAAATGCTGTATGCACCGGGCGAGGGAGAGTTTACAGTGGATACAGACAGAGAAAGGATTGCTCGCATGGTCACCCAGATGGTTTGGTCCAAACTTTTTCATTATCTGGAGCGTCGAGAGTTTCACAACTATCGCTTCCTGTTCAATTCGCAACATGCACGCTTCTTCCGAGCTCTTGACGTGGAGCCGATTGACGGCCTTGTTCCGGGATTCCACACTGAGACCGACCCGAGTGTTGACTTTAAGGGCTTCATGCTGGACTGGTTCCTGCATCAGAACGGCTTCAGGAGCGTAGACCCACCACCCTCGGCCCCCAGATCCGCAACTCTAACGATTTCGTATCTGTACTTGATTTCGGCTTCAACCCCATCAGGAACATCTTCGACCGGGATGATGCAGGATGGCCACCCATTTGCTTTGCAGCGATGAGCAACAACCTCGTGGTGCTGCAAGCGCTTCTTGACCGAAAGGTGGATGTCAATGCGGTAACCACCAAAACGAACAAGGAGCTACATCTCGTCAAGAAGATTACTCCGATCGGAATTGCAGCGTTCTTTCGCAACAACGAGGCTATGGAGCTTCTTTTGTCTGCCAAAGCAGAGGTGAACAACACGGACGGTTTTGGGGGCAACGCTCTCCACATGGCATGTTTGGGAGACAACCCGAGTGCAGTACGTCTACTTTGCCAAGCCGGGGCTGATCCGAACCAGCACGACTGGCTGGGGCTCAACCCTTTTCTAGTCGCTTGCGGGTGTAGTAGCGTCTATGCTATGAAGGAGATGCTCATTCAAAATCCCAGTTTGAGCTTGCGACATAGCTTACACATCGCATTGATGATGGGTGGATCAAGTTCTGCGGAAAGGATATCAGTTTTGCTCGAGGCTCGGGCGAATGTGAATGAACAGTTCCGGGTACAGATCCGGGAGACCGGATGGTGGCTTCTCATGAACTGCATGAGTTTGAGGCATCGGGTAAGCCCGTCCAGACTGACTTTGCTGGCGTACCATCATTACGATGCTACTCCGCTGATGTTCAGCATTTTGAGCGGTTCCCTGGAAGCTATGTCCTCTCTGCTCTCAGCTGGAGCGCGAGTAGACATCCAGAACTACCGAACGAAAACGGCTTCCGAATTGGCGCGCCAGATGCTCGCGCCTCCGTGGTTGATTGAGGCTTGTGCTACTCCCACCCACCATGACTCTGAGAGCGTGTCTGAGAGCGACACTTTCTTCATGTGAGAGGCCTGTGCCAAGGCTTCTGAAAGTTTGTCACCGCACCTGCCCACAGATGCGGGTAACACCTGTCTCAGCAAGAGAATGGTAAAGCTGGTGCATGTTGAGAGCGGGTTCACGAGGTACGCCGTCACAATCATGTGTCATAGCACCCGTCATCACCAGTCAGCATAGTTATCATAACAGTTCAAAATATTCAGACATGCCTCCTATAGACTAATAGAGTAGCCCGTTTATGCCATGCACAAGCCCTGCCCGAGAGCTTTGGAGAATCTGGAGATGCACTTGAGGGCCAAGGCTCCCGTTGCTCCGATTCCTCAAGATCCTGTGAGAGCTTAGGTGTGAACTAGGCCTAGGGTGCTCTGCCCAAGACAAGTTGCTGTAGGATATGCTCGAGCTCCAAGATTCCGCGATCCTAGAGTTTTTCTGTGGCATTCGTCTGTGTGCGCCTCGCAAGGAGGTCCAGTGCTCACTCGTCGGGAGAAACCGAACCGGTATGGATATTTTCGTGCTTTGAACTAGCTCGACGAGGCCGAAAGCAAAACCTCTTTCAGGGACTCGAAGCCCTGGAAGCAAAGCCACTGCCGCCCCTTCTGCAACTTCCGAGCTGTCCGCCAAGCGATCGGAAACACTCGAGTGTCGGGGCGTCTTTTGCATTGATACTGACAGCATGTTGGTGCATGGGGCAGCATGTTTGGCCACTTTTTGTTCCACGCAACCACACCTCCATCTCGTCAGTGACGGTGTGCATCTTTAAATGCAGGGCACGGCCCCTCTGAAAGGCCCTGCTGCAAGCGAGGACACAGTCCGTTGCATTCTTCCAACAGGGCTGGAGGGAAGCCGGCAGCGTTCCAAAAGAGTCGCTGCCGTACTAGTGCCCTGTCCATCAAGACCCAACAGAACCTGTTTGCGGGCAAAACGGAAGAAGCCCCTTAGCGCTTGCGAGTTCTCTCTGACGCTTTGCTGGTCTGTGCTGGTCGTGCACGGTGTTGAGGAGTTTGGTACTTCGCGACAACAGCACCGCCGCTGCCACAGGCCTTATCGAAGCATGTTCCTCTTTGGGGGTTTCAATTATGGCTCTGATAAGCTGAACAAATCGCCTCTTCAAACTTGTCCGGAGATCAAGCGGAATTCTATCACTCTTGAGCCATGTGCTTGGAGGCGCAGTGCTCTGAAATAGTGACGTTTATGGACGTCATTCGTGGCAAGCTGGCGGGGGGACCAAGTCCTTTTGGGGCAGCTATCTGGTTGCATAAAGAGAGTGTCAGCCGGCTAGCCTCACCACAGCTAAGCCTCAAAGCAAGAAGCGATCGGCTTCCAAACGGCGTGGGCTCCTTTGAGTCTTTCGGTTGGGGGTGTCGTCCCCATGGCTCATGAACCCCTGTTGAGATAGTCCGAACCTTAATCTTATCTGTGAGGCCGCGGGCTCCGAGCACATACACGATCGTGTCGGTCACAGTTGAGAACATGACCGATAGTGCCATCAGTTCAAGCTTGCTATGGCCAGTTGACCTAGGCAGAAAACTAAGCCGTCAGTCCAGCACGCAGCGACCAAAACAGTGTATAATGGTGAGCAACTTGGCGACATAATTCTGAAGCGTTCGCATGCGACCTGTTGGAGGCCTGCGTGCCGTTCAGGGCATATGCTTTAGTTCTGACTTCTTATCAGGCATGGTTGAGATTCTTCACCACAGCTTGCAAGAGGAGTAGGGCTCTTTCGTCCCTGTGCGAGGGCTCCACTCTTTGACATATTGCCGAACCCAAGTTCTGAACCACGGAACACTGACGCCATGACCTCGGACACTCCACGCCGAGACCTCCGGGAGGAGCGGATATGGAGTGCTTCGAACCAAGCTGGGCTGTTGTAGTCACGTCGGGCTTTCTTGGCTTGTTGCGCCGATGCTGTAATTTTATGTTTGAAGGATTGCAACGTAGAGTCTGATTGTTGCTTCTAGAGTTGCACTGCGGTGCCATTGTGTCATGTGTGCTGTCTCCTATTTATGGTGTGGGCCGGATATGAGTTCCGAATGCATCTGATGAATGGTTCAATACTGGTTTTGGCCGTGAGGTAGGACAGTAGCCAATTTGGCCAGTGCCTCGCGGAGCCCCACAGGTGGAGGCAGAACGCGTATCCAAGCTCGAGCAGCGAGCAGTTTTCATGGCAGAGAAGCAGGCGCAGCTACATTGCTAGCTATAGGCTGTGCTGCTGCTGCTGATGATGATGATGACGATCGTGTGGAGAGGATGGAGTTAGGAGTTAGGACTATCACGGTGACGCAGGTGGTGCTGACGATTGTCGTGGCTTTGGCAATGCTTTGGTTCACTCCGTCATAACATGCCCTTCTCTGATCGTTCTGCTTGTGGATTGCTGATTTCCGCTTTGCTTATTGTTGAGACTGCCGTCTGTTTTGGAGTAACCTTCCTTTCATCCTCAAAATCTTCCGGACTGGAGGATCTGCTGTCCTCTGACTCGTGTGCATTTTAGAGGAAAACTAGGTATCGGAGTCGTCAATGTTGAGCAGGTCGGCTGTGCTACAGGCTGGTCGGGTGTTTGGTTTACAGCTTCGAGGCTGAACTCTATCGGATGATAGGTGGAGATGTCTCCAGGCCTTGTCCTGGAGTTCCGCCCGCTCATGTCTGTTCGTGTCACGTCCTCTCGGTACAGCAGGCCGAACTTCAGATCATGCAGGAGCTGAGGCACTCCGCTCAGCCATCGTTCAGTTGTGTGAGCTGCCATTAGCATGTTACAGATTAGAGCCTGAACTCCTGCCGACGTAGCATATGTTATGGCAGGTGTCGGAAGCAGGAGGACAAGACCCAGGCGAATGTACCCGCAGCAGCGCGGAAGACGTGACAGAATTTCAGAGCTGGCACACTGGGACACAGGGACACTCCTGCAAAGGTCGTTGGAGAGACAAGCCCCGAACCCCTGCGAAAGAAGGAGGGAGGGAGAGAGATAGACAAAGAGACAAGCACCGGCCATGCGGAGCACAGCAGAGCGGAAGTGCTACTCCAGAGTTCCTAAGCGCAGGGCTTTTCCCAAAGGCGTTTACCATGACGCCTAGCCCTCCTAGCAATTCTGGCAAGGCACTCAAACGCCAATGTGAAGCTCATTTGCAGTCAGTGCAGCAAGCACGGCGCGAGGCGAGGGATTGCAGAGGCTGTTAGCGTTAGGCAGCAGTCTCTGTGCCTGTATCTCAGTGCATCAAACTGGGGTTTTGGGTGCACGTCGCGTTCAGAGGTAGCCCGACGCCCACGGGACCCGAACTGTCAGGCCGCTGCCAAACGCAATGCTCGGCGACAAGAGGCCGAAGCTTAGTTTCGCGCAGCATTGTGCCATGTTGGACCACTTCTCCGACGAAAGCCATGATGGGAGCACGTTTTCCTTCTGGGGTCTCGCTTTTTTGAGCTCCGGGATGAACGTCTATTGAAGGCTCTGAAGAGCTTTCTTTGGGGGTTTCGGGCTCGTGTCGCACCGATATCATCCTGCACAGATTGCAGCCTGCGAGTTTGGTCGTGGATGTGCACGTCGACACGTTACACGGCACCTTTGCCAGACAACCGAAGACCTGTTGGACTCAGGTTACCCTTTGCGGACCTTTAACAGCCTCCATAACAGTGCACCCTCAACAGAATTCACAGATCTCTGCAACATTTAACGATACACAGACGCTGAAATGAGTAGACCCTGAAGGCTGCATCCCAAACAGACCTGCTTGGAAGCCTCGACCGGGATCCACACGAAGGTGAGCAGCCGGGCCAAGGAGCTCCAGGACGGCGAAGCCACGGCTCGTGAGGCGAAGGCAGCGCCGCTTAGCCCGAATCCCTAAACGCTGAAGCCCTGAAGATCCCTGTCTGAAGCCTATCCATAACCCTGTACAGCGGGCAAGCAGGTGAACGGCCTGGATGCCCGACGGGCGCAAGCCATCTCCCGGCTTCGTGCAGAGCAGGCGCAACGCCTGGAGGCTTCCGGCGTGTTCATGCTTTTAAGTCGCCCTGGAAGTTGCAGTATCCGAGTTCAGGGTGCACTGAGGCTGCGGCACAATTGCGTTCCTGTGATTTTGCTTTGCACTTGGGCTCTCTGGGGGATGGTTCAGGGACCTTGGACTGCTGTTTGCACGAGTAGCTTCAGTTCTCTTTGTCCTATGTTACAACGCGTGTAGGTCTGGCAACCCGAGGTCAGGCTGTTTCGATGGATTGAGTATTTCTTCTTTCGCATGCTCCGCTGCTACCTTGACATGAATTTGCCACGGATGTCCCCATCTGCTATGGGAACCGTCAGGTCCCAGTTGTGAGCACGATGGCAGGTCGTGTTGCCATGTTGGGTTACCTGTAGGACGCTATGAAGCTCTGCGTAGTAGTATACACTGTTTCTGTTTGGCATGGAGGCACAGAAAAGCGACAAGTCCTCGAAGTCCAAGGAGCTGGCTGAGAGGCGCCGTGGCTGTCGTGTTGTCAGTGGCCCAACGATGGCTGTGACGAAGAAGCAACTTTCGATCTTTCCACATATGCTACCACCAGCGCCGCGACACCAACTGCTGCTGCCGGTGAATTTCCGGGCCTGGGGATTTTTTTGAAAACGACCTAGAAGTCCGGCCCTGGAGGAGTCTTTCCACCCAAGCCCCAAACCAGAAGCCCGCATCCTGCAATGCTCAGTGGAGGCTCAAGTACGTCGAGGAGCAGCGAGAGTCAGCGATTCAGCAGAAGCTGCGTGCTTATGAGGCCGCCGCAAAATGGGTTTCTTTCACGAACCTTAAAGTCTCAAGAAGTCCACAGCTTCACATTGTACGCGACCCGACGAAACTCTACAAACACTGCAGCTTCCTGACTCAAATTCTGGCGCCTGCAGGCGGCAGGATGTGCAAAAGATGCAAGCATGAAGCAGTGCAGGTTTTGGCATAGGAGAGCCAAGGAACACACTGGCATGTGCACACATACCCTTCAATTCCGAGTGTCTCTGGTGGGAGCCTGTAGACGGTGAGTCCAGAATTTCGGGGAGTTTTCGATCCATGGCTGCGAATTGTGTACCACCGTCAGAGGCAGATGTGCAGAAGCATCCGGGAATCTCTCTCAGGGCCTGGCCGAATCGGCCCTCCGGACATGTGTCAGAGGTTTCGCAGATCTTTCGAAGTTGTAAGCCGCGTCAAGCCCCACTGCCAGTCGGGGCCAGGATCGGCTGCATCACTGTGGTGGCACGGCTGGTTCTCTGAGAGGTATCAGTAGAATCTACCCCCGTTTGTTGTTCTGTAGTATTGAGACTTCTTTCTTAGCGCTCGGATTGGTTTCTCTCTTGCTGCTGATAATCAATGCCTAGGTGCCATTTCCCACATCTGGCAGACGGGTAGCATGCCGTGCCTGTGGTGCATCGCAGGATTCTGCTGGAGAGGTGACTCGTCTCTTTGTGGATGCAGATACTCACAAGATAGACGACATTGACAGTGCGATCAGCAAGCTGGAGAAAATGGGCAGGATCGTGCTCACAACTGTTTTCGCGCCACCGGGCCGGGAAACGAAAGAAGATTGGCAGCAACTCCTCAGAAGGCCGGGGATCGATTTTCGCCGAGTCCACCGCGCATCAAGCCGAACCGGCGAAGCAAATGACGCTGCCATCACCGATGCGCTTCGGAGTTGTGCCGACCGAAGCATTGCACTCTTGACCTCTGATTTTGACTTTCGAAGTGTCTGTGAGGCTGTGGCTGAGCATGGCAAGCAAGTCCTAGTGCTGACCCCATCCAATAACCGCAAGCTTATAAAGCGGTATCAGGATGCCGGCATTCCTGTGCAAGGGATTTTGCCCCGCGACGGGTCCTTCAAAGCTCCAAAGGTGCGAGCTATCCTGCACCAGGATGGCAGTGGAAGCGTAAAGCTGGATGACCCGTTTTATCCTTACGATAACTCAGAGTTGCTCCAGGACACTGAAAGCTTCCTGCGTGACCTGGGCTACATTGCTCGAGACAGAGAGCACCTGGTCCATTCTACTGCGAAGTTTTGGCTTGCCAACGACCTGGGGCCAGTGACGGTCTTCCCTTATCAAGTTGCAATCGAAGAGTTCGGGCAACGTGTACTTGGCCAAGGCAAGAAGTGGCGGAAGCACAGCGTGAATGATAAGGCTTTCCTGCTTCCCAAAGTTGCAACAAAAAGAATGATCAAGCGGGAAGCTGAAAAGTTTGGCACTCAGCTTGCTAGGCGACTCTTTTGCGGTGGAGGTCCTTTCATGTTGAAAGACTCGGAAGGTATGGTTCGCCAAGCTCTAACACGATTGGGATACCTGGACGACGAGATGAATGCAGATGTGCTCGAGGCCATGCTGGTCTTCGTCAATATTGCGGACAATCGGAACGCACTGCGCAAGCAGGCCGGCGTGCTGCCCAACCCCGGCGACTCCCCTGCAGAAGTGGAGGAGAAGCTTCGACATGCATTTCTGTCGCATCTCACAGACGGGCAATGGCGAGTGGCACCGAACGATCGTGATGTGCAGATGCTTCTCCGCAACGAGGGCTTCCTGGTTTCCGCTGACTCCGCTGACACGACACGCCAGGGCCAGGACGTGTTTCAGGCGATGGCCGAGTTTGCAAAGCAGCGTAGCCTTCCCGAGATGAAGACTTATGGGGGCTATGCTTTTCGCATTCGCTCTGCCGCGAACACAAACCCCAGCAAGGTAGCAACTATCGAGCTTGCTGCTGAGTCTGAAACAAAAAGACACGTCTTTTGCACTCTGAGCTCCGCAAGCAAGTTGTCGGTCCAAAAGGGGGAATTCGTGTTGCTTCCTTGAGAAACCGCGACCCCAACTCCGACTCCGAGGTCTGCAAGAGCACCCTCTCGACCTTGAGGGCACCTCCTTGAAGCCAACAGCATCCCCTAGAAAAACGGCCCCAAAAGACTACCTTTTCTTCAGATGGCTCTCAGAGGCGCGTCAGCTTCGGCTGGAAAGCGAGCGGAGGGTGAAGGCGCTTGCTGGGGGTCTCTTTCCTGGGGCGTGTCTTTGGGGAACCTCTGGCGTTTCAGGATCTTCGTGAGGTTTTTTTCTCGGAGAGATATTGGGATGAGAGACAGGGGAGGTGCAGTACGAAGCCGTGGTGGCTCGTGCAGCGCTTGTTGTAGTATAGCGGGTTGCGAATTTTGCGTGCACGGATGGAAGGTGTTCGTTCTTTTCGTATTGGTGATTTTGAAGCCGAAACCCGAACAAAGTCTTGTGCGTTTAAGCCAGGTCGGATACAGGACTCAAGAAACGGGTTGGCGAAGCGATCTGCAAATCTTTCCATGTTCTTATGCCTTATGCGCCCATGCGTGTTGATGGTGCTGCCCATATCTGCGCAGTGCAGTCTGCATGGCACCTCCTTGACTCCCAAGCCAGTGTTGGCAGGGCAAAGGTTCAGGAAAAGCACCTCCTGGATTCACGTTGTCAGAATATTAGTGAAGCAAGTCTTTACGAGGCATCTGACCCAGTCACCAATTAATTCAACAATGGGGCTGCGCCGTCGGGTAAAGTTGCACTCTGTTGTATTTCGATCCCAAGAGAGTTCAGATCAGACGCAGAACTGGCAAGTTGGATGGAATAGCAACTACGGCGACTACGGTTTAGGGTTTCGGAGCACGAGATTGAAGCAGAGCTCACATCGAACGAATTCCTGGGTGGCCTGGAAGCTACAACACAACAAGAAACTTTGGCAAAAGCAGACAAAAAGACAGCCGGTGCACTTCAAGTGAGATGGAGAATATGAGTTTGCCCGACCTGCTCAAGATGCTCAGTCACAAGCTCCGCAGGCAGAAGCCCAAGGCAAGGTGAAGCAGATCCGCGCAAAGTGCGACATGTGGAAGACCGCCTTTCAAGCTTGCAGTTTCCCGTGTGGAGTTTGGGGTTGTCTTTGTGGATGTTTGCAGTGCAACGCGTTTATGTTCGAAGTGACAACGACAGTGGTTCGCAATGTTTGACCGGATAGGATCTGATCATGTCGAAATCTGATCACCTGAAACATCTTGACAAACCTGTAGCTATGCGGGCGAAAGCTTCGATTACAAGGAGATTGTTGTCCGGTCCCTCCCCCTCGCTCTCGCGCTCGCTCTCTCTCTCTCTCTCTGTCTCTCTCTCTCTCTCTCCTCTCGCTCGCTAGCTGGCTCGCTGGCTGGACGCTCATATCTGCTGTGGCAGGGATTCAGCGAGAGTACTCCTGGTTCCTATTCCTTTGTGATGGAGTCTGGATTGTTTTGTGAGAATCCGGTGCGAGACTCGATGTCGCCCGATGACCCCGAGCGGAGGACGTCGTCGACGATGCTCCTCACCGTGAGGCAATGAACACACTCGATGGCCTCCTTTGCCCTCGAGTCCAGCAGAACAAGATCTGCACCAGCTATTTGTACTCCGACATCATGGTTCGAGACTCCCGTGGGGAGACTTGTCGGAACGTGGCATGCGTCGACTCGTGCATGTAGCTAAGTCTCTAAAGGAGGGTCCCTTTTTTACGTCCCCAGAATAGGGGACCCTGATTTAGAGAACTACCCATGTACGGTCGGCACACTCGCCGAAGTATTCGTTCTCGAAACACCTTCCTGGCCGACTCATAGAAAGTGTCACAGTGGATGTTCCAGCCGAGTCCACGTGCTGGCAGCCTTCCCGTTCGATGTTCGACAGATTAACAAATTGACAAAGAGACCATCTATCGTTGAAGACGACAAAGATGGTTGAACAACACCGTGAGATCTTTTCGGCGCTTGGCACCTTTTGGCACCGTCCCCCTGGACAGAGGTTTAGCCAAGGTGCAGCCAGCGATGCAAGCATTGCCCCCTTACCTAGCTTCGAGAGGTGGATTTGAAGCTGACATCGGAACAAACCGTCGTTCCGCTATACTCGGGGTAGTCTCCCTCCCGTTAAAACAGCCCGGCCAGTCTCGACGTGCGGGAACCTCTCCGACTCCCAGAACTCCGCGTCGTCTGAGACAATGTAAACTCTGCACGGCAAAGTTACTGAGACCAACATACGGGGGACGGCAGTGATATTTCGAAGTGCCAGCAAGTCGGAGCAAAGCGAGTTGGAGTAATCTCGCGTGCACACCGTCGTGCTGCACAGCCCACTTTGTAGCAAGTGTCGGGCTTGACGTGTTTGTCGATGATTTCACAACATAAACACAAAGCCGTGCAATGTCCGTGGGCACGAAATGGCTGTTCCTGCCTACTGCACATCGTGTTGCACCTGCCGCCTCCAGTCTTCACCTCGTCGGATTTCGAGTTTGCCGTCACTGCTGCAATGGTTCTAAGTGACAGCGACAGAGTTCGGCGGTTTGGATTTGATCATTTGATGAGGTACTGTATGTAGACTGCGTCGAACTTGGAAACACAGATGGTGAGTGAATGCTTTTATGTCTCTGGAAGTGCTTGAGCGTATCGGCAGTGATGAGCCTACGACATGTCACGTTCTTGCAACTTTGAAGCAGTGCTGCAGGACCTACACCAAAGAGAAGATGGCTGCTGGAAAGTTGCTGGCTGAGATATGGGAGCTTCGCATGAGTGGATGGCGCAACGGACGGGAGTCTTCTAGTCGTTGCTGGAGTTCTCGTGTTTCCTATTTACAGTACTTTCGCGTGGCATGCTATGAGCCTGTAATGATGCACGGCAAACACTGCTTCAGAGGCATGACGAACTGCTTGGAGAGATCCGCGATCGGCGGACTCTTGGACGCAACAAGCAACGCCGAAATAAGCCACAAGGAAAGCTTCAGAGGCCATTCGAGTCCTTGGAAATGCTCTCCGGCAGACAGCGAAGTTGAAAGAGTTATGTTGTGTTTCTCAGGATGACGGGCTTGTCACCACTTTCTTCGCCTTCATCGTTTTCAGCTCAGTCTGAGAAGATTGACCGGATGTGGCGCTCGTTCGTTTGTCTGTCCGAGAAAGGGGACGGTTTATTTCGGCCGCCTCGGATGTACCTTTCGTCTCTATCCTTGGGGAGCTGATATGTGTTGGTGCCCGAGAGCTTTGGCAAGTTGTGCTTCGGTGAGGCCGCAATTCTTGACGCCCGCTGATGGCCTGGGCCAAGGACGAAATTACAGCTTCTGAGGTGTAGGGCCCTCGAAGCAGGTCACAAGAGACACACTGGCATTCAACAGCCCGTAGAAACGCAGACGAGCTTGTACCAGCGTCCACAGTCTGCAAAGGCCCAAGGCCTAGTCCGAAGCGTCTTCAGAGCCTTGCCTGCGAATCTGTGGAGGACAGTTCCAACCGCCAAGCCGCCTCGAGAGAGGCCGGGATTCTGTCAGCTCTGAACCCCACAGCTCGCCTTAAATCGCTCAGAATGGGCCACCAACTAGTGGCCAGAGGCTCAAAAGATCTCAAAAGCAAGCCGAAAGCCTGAGCCGCAGAAGGCGCCCCTGAAGCGGATTCCTTCCAGGCCGACCCAAAGGCCACCAGATGAGCAGACAAGGCTCAACAACTGCATGAGCTTTGGATTCGCTTTGACATGCGACCTCGGCCTGCGCCAACAACTTCTGGTGCAGCTTACAGACCTTTAAAGAGAGAGCGAGAGAGAGAGAGAGAGAGAGAGAGACAGACAGAGAGAGGGAGAGAGAGAGAGAGAGAGAGAGAAATGGGGATGTGCCCAAGCGCGGGTCAGAGGGACTGCCTCTGACTTGCCGGGCCCTCGAGTCACCGTAGGGGGGTAAACCCTGAGCATGAGGCGTGGCACAAACCAGTGATAGTCTTAATGCCATTGCCGTTGTTTTGCTTTGCCCTTTTTGTGCGATCATATTCTCCTTTGAGATCGCATGCGCAGACTACTGGCACCCGCAATAGGCGGGGGCGCACTAGCGCGCGGTGGGGAGGCAACTCCCCACCACAGCCCTGGCGAAAGAAAGAGAGAGAGAGAGCGGCCTGAGTCAAACTGTTCGTCAATGCCCGACAGTTTCCGATATGGGAGAAGGAGCCAAATTCGACCGACAGTAACTTTTGCTCGCACCCAGAAGATCCCAGAAGACAAGTACCATGGACCCCTGGACGGGATACGTCGTCGTGGGGATAACCGGTGCGTGTACTTTTCACAGTCCCTTCAACAAGCCCGACAAGCCTCAAAAATTGTGGAGCCCTAGAGGCCAGGGGGCTTGAAACCAGGGGCTTGAGACGCTCCCTTTGCCCTGTGGAAGAAGAGAGAGAGAGAGAGCCAGACGGTCAACATACTTTCGTATCGTAAAGTTTACGGCACTAGCTTCTTGTTGGCCTATGTTCGTATCTCACTCCCCGTAGCCCGACAAGACGTTGGGTGGGCCTGGCGCCCGGGGACGTTGACCCGTCCCCATGCCCGGGAGAGAGAGAGAGAGAGAGAGAGAGAGAGCCAGGCCGTAGCCATTTTGGCTCAAGTCACCTGCCGCGTCTTTGAGGGGCGCGCTCGGCACCGGCCCTTGGGGAGAGAGTTGTCTCTCCTGTCCCGAGGGTGGACGTGTGCCTGAGCGGAGGCGGCTTAAGGCCATCCGTGCAGCTGACGAGCCGGTGGGGAGGGGCATCATGCTACCACATCGAGGAACCCCTCGCTTCCGAAGACCAGCCGAGGGACCTGCCGATCCCACGAAGCAGAGCACGCGACTGGGAGGGGGATACCGAGTTGGCAGGGACGCCCAGAAGGATTACACTACGACTGAGGACCCGGCCAAGGTGAGGGACCCACCAGAAAGAAAGGTGGAGCAGACAAAAAAGACCGCGGCACCTCACTGGGCAGAAATGGGGGAAGCAGCTACGGGAGGGTCTCGCGCAGAAGATCATGAAAACAGCGATCCGGATGGACAAGGCCAAGTATAAGGTGACAAAACTCAATTGGGCACCACGTTTGCAAGCGGTACATAGTCACCAGTGAACCAAAGCCTGGAGCTAAGCTCCTTCCGTGTACAACTCGTTCCAACAACACCTTGAGGCACCCGCTTGAAAAAATTAGGGAGCCATGTGGAATTCGCTTAAAAGGGGCACTCGATACTTGCATTTCGTCAACCACACAAGAGGCGTGCCTGACCCAACATAACAGTGGAGGGTCGTTAATTCAGGCATGTTTTTCCCCCGCAAGCTTTTTGGGATGAGCCTTCACACAAGGTGATGTAAGACTGGGGCACCAAACAGTGAGGTTGTGGTGTTGATGTTGGTGTGTACATTTAGAACTGCTGGCTTTGTTTGCCCCCACAGAGTCAACGCCCCATACACAACGGCTTCACAGCCCCACACCAGTACAGCCGAGCCCGTCCGGTGAAAATCTTGGATGGGGTAACGCGAACGCGCGGGCTAGGGGGCCTGCCCCTAGCTCAAATCCCAAGCAAAGCAAAACCAGGGAGTAGCCAAATGTTCAGTAGCGAGACGGAGCACCAAGACATCGTGTTAGGTCCTGTTTAGCTTCTGTTAGTTTTTGAGTGACTCTGAAAACGAGGCACAAGCCCAAAACCTGCCTGCACGGGGGCACTTCTCGAATGTCATTGCGGCCTAACCACGGGTCAATTGCACAGCCGAGCCCATTCTGCCAAGAGGGTGGATGGGGATGCGCCCCGGCGCGGGTCAAACGGACTGCCTCGGACTTTATACCCTAGCAGAGCCAAGCCAGGAAGACTACGCTCCTGCCGTAGCCCTGACGAAAGAAAGGAGACCGAGTTTGTTTGCTGAAGCCACAAAGCCGAAGTCGCTGCTTGTGGATGGTGCATTGCAGGCGAAGCCGAGAGCGAGAGGTTTGCTTCCGAGAAGGAGGACACCAGCCCCGCGCTCGGAAGCGCTGAAGGCCTCTCGAGATTTCGGGTCGGCTCGGCTTGAAGCTGAGGTCTCTACGAGAGCTTGATGAACGTCTTCGAGTCGAAGGCGGACGATCTTCGGCCGAGATGTGAAGATTTTCTTGCGTTGTTTTTGCCGTCAGGTTTCCGCTCGATGCCCGAACGAGCGATGAGCGATGAGCCCTGGCGCTCCCTAGCGTCGTAGCGTGCCGGGCTGAGATGCCCCGCTAAGCTTGTCCTCTGGAGCCGGGTCAGCCGCACTGTCGCTTCGTCCTTCGTGGCTGCTGCAGGCATGTGGTGCCGAAATGTCGACGGCTACAAAACCTCCACGAGATCATGCACAGAGGCTGTGAGACGTCTGCCGAGCGGCCGATGTAGACGCAGACGTCCATGTCGTCGTGGTGTTTGGGTGTCTTGATCCGACACCTGGCAAAGCGGTGAAATCCAAACGAAGGCCAGACTAAAGCTGGACCGTGACAGTGCCATCGACTGGTGGTGAGTGGCAGCCACTTGCAGTGTGGCTGGCTAGGCAGAGGGCCCTGTGCCTACATAGCATTACGCAAGCTGGGGCTTTACCTGCGACCCTAGCTACACGCCTTCGCAACTGCTGCATCCTCGGGATGAGTTTGGTGCATTGACTTGACTGCAAAGCCAGTCGCGGAAGGCTTGCCAAAGGCAGCGCGGCGACTGCAGAAACTGTTGTGCTTGCCAAGAGAGGATAACTCCACCTACCCGGCTCTGATGTGGGCTCACCGCACAAGGTCCGAGAACCGCAGAAGTCCATCTTGGACCTGTGGACCTGTGTCTCTGGCTTTTTGCTCTGACCGAAAGCTTGGGAAAGGGACAGTGGGGTTCTGATTTAAAGCAGGGGGTTGCTGAGCTTGTCGGACTGGACTGGCTTCGGCCAGGTTTGAGGGAGTACAAAAAGGACAACTGGTCACTTGGCTGGTGAAAGGAGGCATTGCTCGGCAGAGAGTCTCGGTGTACACATACACGGAGAAGGTTGATTAATCTAGACTGTCCAAGCCCCGACAAGCACACATGGACATGGACAGGTTCAGTGAGCCCCGGAGCTACAGGACAGCCCTGCAGGCTAGTGATAGGTGGCAGGATAGGTTTGAACAATGTCCCAGGTGGCACACTACAGCTGGCATTTGGGGAATGTACGCTGCGGGCCCAGCTTTTGCTTACAGGCAACAGCTCACCGGTTGGTCAGTGTCGTTTGTGGGTTGTTGTCTTCGGCTGCCGCACGCGAGACCCGCATCAATGTACGACGATCCGACGCGACCCATAGAACCCTGAACAAAACTGAACCGTCTCCGAGGTGATCTTCAAGATCTTTGGGCCTTTCGGTGCCGGCACCTCAATGGTCCTCTCAGTGCGCACCGGCTCTTCAGGGTGGGCTTTTTGGGTTCAGAGCCTCCATGGGTTTTAAAAGATTGTTGAGCTCAAACCTCGGTTTCAGCATTGAGACATTCTGGGAGGTTTCTTGTTAGAGGCCCAGGGCCCGGTTCTTCAAAATAGGAGGGTCCCCGCAGCAGCTAGCAACGTCATGAGAAGCCTCAAGAGTTTTGGGTACCAGTAAAGGCTGAAGAGGATGTGGCCGAGGAGCTCTGCCAGTAGGTCCACCTGGCCGCCAGGTACTGATCGGGGCGCTCTATGATGAATGGGCCGAACCGAACACGTCCCGAACCCAGCTTTCCAACAGACCATCGGATAGCATCCTGGCGGGTACAGGCAGATTCGTGCAGGGATACGAGCTCTTGGGGGAGTCGGGAGCATATGTCATGGAGAGGGCAAGGCTTAGAAGCATGACCCTACTGGTACCTGTCGAACCCAGTCGGCGTTCTGCCTCTAGGCAGTACTCCGCTCTCGCGCACCTCCTGGGCGTGAGTGGCGAGGCGGGGGTGGAGCGACTCGTAGTTGAGATTCTGGAATTTCTCTAAGGTTCAAGGCAGGTTGTGGCTGTGCTGACCGGAAAGGGATGCGGGTGGGCCAGACCTTCTTGGAAGGTTTGTGGTGGAGCTGGCGGCTGGATCATGCCGTCTGGCTCAGCCGGAAGTTTGTATGATTCTCACGGCGAGATCCTTGATGTACGGAAGGCGAATATGTGCAGCACAGGTGAAGGCCTGCGACCTTACTCTAAACTCAACCTTATTCCATACGTCCTGAACTGAATGCTAAATTAAACCTCAGATGCCTGAACTTACCGGAAGCTGTTTCAGATGTTCCCAGGTCGTACTGCATTGGTCGAGAGATCCTCTTGTACGCGCTGCCAGCCGTTTTGTGATGACGGCTTTGCTTTAGCCAAGTTCAGTGTGCTGTTGCAGGTTGCGCGCACACCTGCTAGGCTCACGTCAGGCGTAACGTCTTCGCCCAGACAGCTGAAGTCAAAATTGTCGCGACAAAGTTAACTCGGTCACATACCGCCTGGCTTTGCTTCCTGCCAGTTTGCCGCCGAGAAGATGGCGACATTGAAGCAGGACAGCGCTGATTGCGTCTTTAATTACGTGCCATCACTTTGTTACATGAAGGGAACTACATGTCTGTTACCCTCTATACTTCCGAAGCGTGGCAAGACCGGACAAGTTCAGAGTCTACATGCGACGAAGGGCAAGGTGTCGGGTTCACAGCAATGCTAGAAGGGCTTGGGCCCTGATCTAGAAGCTACCAGTCGGAAGAACAAAGTGAGAGGCTCCTGTAACTTCCAAGAATAAGCAAGTCTTACCGTTCGGCTACCAACAGCTCTGAGCCTGGAAAGCTGCAGGAGATGGACAAGTTTCAGGGGTCCATGCCGGCTGCCAAGGGACCACGAATTATGACCGATATCACAGTTTTCTCTGGTGATTGAAGCTCCGACCCGCCGACTCTCTGCAGACGTGGGTCTCGGGACTGTGTCGAGGTTTCGGTACATGTTCTTCCTGCGCGTGTCGCCGCTGTTTCCGAATTGGCCCGCCTGCCCGTGATTCGGGCTTTGGAGATTTCGGATCAAGATTCGTGACGCAGACCATAAAGGGGCGCAGCTGCTTGTGTGCACACACCGGGTGTGTTTGCTTGCTTTGTGTGTGCAGTCCGCCAGGTTTGTGAACTACGCAACAGCCCTGGTTGGCATGCCGTTCTCGTATTTTCTGATTGTGCCGGCCCCAGTCCTCAGTCGCACTTTGCCCTCGACTCACGCTCTGGTCAGGCTCTTAAGAGGCTAGTCAAAGCTCACAGGCCCAGATCCAGCCATGCGCTCCTTCGTCCGGCTGACACCAGCACTGCAGCGTGCCTGCCAAGCCGCGAGGGCGCCGGAGCCAGGAAGGGCCGGAAGGGCTCCGCCGGCCTGGGCGTATGCCGCGGGGATCGCAGGAGGCCTTTTAGGAGCCGGCGCCGGCTCCTGTTCGTGTGAGGTCGCTCACCGCCAGACGCTGGGAGCTCCAGTCGCCACAAACCAGGAGATTCCAAAGGACAGGGAGCTCCGGGTCATAAGCCTCAAGGAGCTCCGAAGCCACAATAACTTGGAGGAAGGTTTATGGATTTCGTACCATGGTCATGTGTACGACATCACCAACTTCGCCAAGATCCATCCTGGCGGTCCAGGAAGGATTCAGATGGCGGCTGGAAGCGACCTCCAAAAGTATTTTGACGTTTATCATGTACACCCGGACGTCAGCAAGTTCCTTGACAGGACTTGCCTGGTGGGCCGCCTGATGCCGAAGGACGCCAAGAGGTCCTACGACGAGACGGTTTTTGCAAATCCTTATGAGAACGAGCCGCCGAGGAAGCTGCAGCAAACGATTGCGACGGCTCCCCGATGGGCCAACCTTATGGGCAAGTATCTTCTCGACTCCTTTAGAACTCCCCTGCCTGGGTTCTATGTGAGGAATCATTTCCCAGTGCCGAGCTGGGAGGATGTCGAAGAGGAGTATGAGTTTGAGGTCAGCGTTCCGGGCAAGGAGGGCAGGATCTTCAAACTCAAAGACCTACGATCCATGAAGCAGAACACAGTCGAAGCCACCATGATTTGTGGCGGGGCTGCGCTCTATCCAAGATACCTGCATCGCACTGACAACAGAGAGACATGGGAAAAGGAGGCTTTCCCAAGAAACGAAATCAACAACAACTTTTGGGGCAGCCATGCTGTCTGGACAGGCGTCAAGTGCCGAGACGTGCTGCGCATGAGTGGGGTCGATGTTGATGCTATCGCCCTTGGCACAAAGCCGCTACCTGCAAAGTACCTGCGACTCACCGGCCATGATGCAGATGAGACAGGCTCCAGCTTTGGGGTCACGATCCCGCTAGAAAAGGCGATTGACCCCTTTGGCGATGTGATTCTCGCTATGACCATGAATGGCGAGCCGCTCCCTCCCGACCATGGCTACCCTGTTCGGGTGCTTGTGCCTGGTTATGCGGGCGTCCGAAACTGCAAGTGGCTGGCGAAGATGGAGTTGGCCGACGAGCTGCACGAAAGCCACATCGACACGCACACCGATGAGGTGATCTATCCGCCAAATATGACCTTTGAGGACCATCTGGCCAAGACTTCGCTGACAGGCGGCACGGTCCAAAGAGCCGGTAGATGGGAGGCGCAGCAGGACAACGACATCTTCAGGGTCATGGAGACTCGGTGACAGCCTCCTTTAGCTGCAGCCCAGCCCAGCCTCTCCCCAAGAGGGAGGCCTCAGCTGAGGAAATGCCGGTCCACAGCAGTGTTATCCTCCCCGAGGTGAACACGACCTTGCCCCTGGGCCTGAGCGATCTGCGCAGCGTTGGCTAACCTGTGTTCGCTTGTAACTCGCTGTGGGGGCAAGCCTGTAGTTGGGCGGATAACACGGTGGGTAGGCTCGACTGGATGGAGAGTGCTACTCGTCCCGGAACACGTCTCGCCTTGCTGAACTGTCCATGCTGCAGCGCCCGAAGCATGTTATTGCGAAGCCGAACCCAGCCATGTCCCCGCGGTCTTTGCTTGGTTTGGGGGGATCAAACTGCCTGTTAGGCCCGTCCCGCCAGAAGTCTGAATCCGAATGCCTTACATCATGGTTCAGGTCCGGGCAGGAGGCATCGAAGGTCGCAGCTGATGGCATCGAGGTCGGCCCAAGCCACGGGCATGAACCCGGGACTGTGAAAATTAAGACTTGAGTCTTTGTTGGGACGATTTTTGGAGTTCCTTAGCTGCCAGAACGGACTGCAAGAGGTTCGTGGCATTGCCTTGGGTGGCGGCGGCCACCGCATCGCCCGTGTGGACGTCTCCATTGACGGAGGTGCAGGGCTGTGCGGGGCTTCGGTGACGCACCCATCCTCCCGAGCCGGCCTGCAGGTAAGACGTATGTGCCGGCTGATTTGGATGACCATGGCATGGAGAAGGTCCACAGAAGAAACTATCATTGGTCGTGGCCCCTTGAACCTGACATGCGAATCTGTCGGGTAAGGCTTTGTAAGGGGATTGAGGCTTCAGGGCACCATTCCTTTCACCTGACCCCACTCTCCCAGGTACTGGTGGTCGAAGAAGGTACCTCTCACAGAGGACATGAAGGGCCAGCTTGCCAAAGGGCAGCCTCTGACCCTCCAGGCCTCTTTGCAGGGCTGAGATCACGGAGCTTAAGACTTGAGAGTGAAGATCCTTGCAGCATGTGGCCCGTGCCCAGTATGGAATGGGAATGTCCGCCTGTTTATGGCAGACTTGCCCTAGAGGCCCTAGAGGCCCTAGAGCTAGCTTCAGTCCCGACCTTGAGCGCTTTTCAGGTGGCATCTCGTGCCATGACGGAGCACGGAAACACGCAGCCCAGTCGCGAAGATGCCGTGTCCTTGTACAACCTTGTGGGCAATATCTGCAACTACCAAACCCACACACCGGTCCTGATCCAGCCAAGCGCCGCAAAAGCCGCATAATTCGAGTGGGTGGAGTTGGTTTTCGGTTTCAACCTTTTCAAGCATCCCCGGTGGCAGGTTGTACAGAGCATGAAATCCTGCAAACCGATCTCTCCAGAGATTGCAGTTTGGTTTTCAAGCAGGATGTCAGCGAAGATGCACAGAGCCTCGCCAGACAAGATTCTGTTTTACCGGCATCTTCGAAACCTCGCGGAAAAGGCTACGCAGTTTGCAGGTTCGGAGTCGCACACATCGCCTGTGGTGGGAGCTGTGGAGCGATGGATAGGATGGATAGCTCAGGCTTCTACACTGGCCATACAGCCGGCTGCCTGCATGTCGATTGCCATGGGAAGTGTGGCCGGCTTGGGATTGCACGTAGTGCTGCCTGAGAGGCACTCAGGTGCAGAAGCGACGCAAGTGATGTGACATGTCGAGTCCCCGCAGCCAGGCATGCTGCGTGATGTTGGAGAGAGTGGCCTGGACTTGGTGAAGCTGGCCAAGCGGGGTGGCATGCCAGGGGCCTACTGGCATTTCCTCCTCGTCTCCTTTCAGTCCCGTTTCCTGGGTCCGAACTGTAGCGCAAGATACGTCGAGAAAGCCCCAACAAGGCGCTCGCCCTTGAAGACTTCAGTGCTTCGGGCTGATCCACCAGTCGAAAGCATGAACATCTTTTTGCAAGACCAAAGGCCGTAGAGACACGCCGGAGAGGGATCACACTGGCAAGGCTCCAGGTGCATTCGCCAAGAGATTAATGAAACTGCAGCATTTGCAACCATGCACTTGCTCGTGCACGGATGCGCGCGACCACAGAATAGAACTGCCCAGTCCATTCCCCCAAAACTCCGGAGCAGTGAAGCTTTCACAACCTCTCCTTGGAGCGTGGACGGTCCCATGAGAGGATGGCGACGACCATGGCCCTGCTCTCGCTGCCCTTGATTCCGGTGGGCCCTGGCCGTCGTCTGATTTCTTAATTGGTTTGTGATGTCTGATTTCTTAATTAGTTTGTGATGTGAATTCGGGTAGTAATGAGCTGCGAGCAATCTTTGCAACCCTTCCCAAACATTCGCAGATGAGCTAAAAAGACCGGATAAGATCCTCAGCAGCATACAAGGCAGCGGAAACAAGGAAACACCTCTTTGTGGAGTCCAATTGTGTGGGGGATCCTTCGTACGAGGGAGTCAACACAATGACACCCTCAACTCAAACCCCAGCCTCAAGCCCAACATTAGCATCCCACTCGTGAAATTCGAAGCTCAACATCCTAAGCCACCCAGCTGAGAGCTGCAAGGTTACCTTGCGCCGCTGCGCTGTGTTTTGGGTGTCCTAACCGTCGTGGACCAATGTGCCCAAAGCGACAGGCTGATGATTGGGCCAAAGGCCTGGCGCGAGCGAGGAAGCTATTGGGCATGAAGGAGCGGACTGTCGCTTTGCGTACACGTGGTGCGATCCTGTAGACTCGGTAGACGTGCAGGCAGGCAGGTAGGTGTTTTTCTTTCATGTTTATGCCCATGTTCGCAAGCGGCAAAGGTTGCCACGCTGTTTTGTTCGCGTTTACGCTTACGTGCGTGCCAGGAGCGGCAGGAGTGAGGTCCTGTGAGTGCCGCCGTCGCAGAAATATCTTGCGGTTGAAGACGGCGCTGAGTTCGCCCGCTTTCATGCTGCGCACCTGCACTTTGTCACATCGGCAGAGTTCCCAACTATCTCACCAGTGTCAAGCTCTGTAAGCTCTGTAAGCCCTAGGCCACCTTTCCCTGCAAGCTGGAGTTCGGAGTTCTTGCTGTCTCACCACCGCAGAGAAGCGCCTATGCCACAAGTCAGCCGGAAAAAGCCTGGTATGCCCGGTCACTTAACGTTCTCGAGATTTCTTGCCATTCATTCTGTTTAGAGGCTTAAATGGTCCTCTAATCAAGACGATTGTGTTGTTCCGAGTAGCTGCCTTGTTTGGGATTTGGGGAGGCGTGTGCGTCCACCACCGATTACAGTACGGCGGAGTTGCCACAGTTCTCATACCTAGAACTTGCTTGGAAGCCTGAAAACCTGGACCGGTGCTCCTTGGAACGGCCCGAAACCAAACTTGCGCCGTTGCCTTCACGGATCTCAGCTGTATTTTGCCTCTTGATCCTGCCGGCCGCGGCCTCACTGGCGTTAATAAATGTGGCGATGGAAACCAATTTCCCGAGTTAAAGTGGCAGGTGATGACTACCAAGTGTCCAGATGCTACTTCTTTCGAACTCGGCACGAAGAACTCCTCAGCAGAGCTTCCCTGTTTTCATGGTGTGTTTCAGGTCATTCTGATTTGGATGAGGGTTCTCTTCTTGAAGGATGACGTCCTGGCTTCACATGTCATTCACTTAGGCATCCTGGCATCTCATATGTAGCACCCACACAACACAAAGCATGCCGAGACTTCGAAGAACGACTGGCTTTCGCAAGTCATTAAAAAAGTCACCAACATGCACAAAGTGGCGATCGAAGCTTTCACGGCAGCCTCGGTCACACCTCGAGTTGCCTCCAATGCACTGCCCTTTTGCCGCTCGTACTCGTAATTTCCCTGCACGAAAGTAGTATAGGGAAGAGTCTGCAGCTCCGGCTTGAGGCTGCGAGCGATCCGTTTGGATTTTGTTCCCTTCGCGCCATGGCAGAGGCGGGGTCGGGACGCACGGTTGTCCGAGGGGCTCAATTTCCCTAAACCAGTGATTTCTTAAGCAGTGCTGTCGCTGTGGCTGAACCTGTAGTTTGGACCAAAGCCGATGCCGCAGACCTGTTGAAACGAGGCTTACAGCGAGGCTTTTGGCCTGCACTCCCGCAAGCTGTTTGGGTGATGTGCAGGAGAAAGAGGCCGAGAAGGAGAGCACTCCTCAGGTAGAAGAAGGGGCTGAAGAGCTCTTTGCCGGAGACCCGGGGAAGGCTGTCAGCATGTGGCATGTATTCCAACTTTCGACCAGCGACTCTCTATGCTGTTCCGGCGATCAAGAATGCATTTGCAAATTGCCCTTAGAAGGCCTGCGGAAGTTCTGTCAAGGGTCAGAGGTTTTTGCCATGCCTTGCCCCGAACCTCGAAGCACAGCACACAAAACAGCCGAAACCGCAAAGTTCAGAGAGTCCGTGCCTCGGCCCAGGATCCTCTAAATGGGGCGGATGGGGAGGCACGGAGAGGTTCATGGTTTGAGGGCTTCGGGTTCGAGGGCGCTCCATTTTTTGTTAGGGGGGTTGGATGCCTTCCAGCTTGTCGCCTGACCTTATTCCGGCTTCCCCCTCCAGGTCTTGACCCCCCGAAGATCCATGTCTCCGAGCCGGCTGCCAGGATCTTTACTACCTGGCGGAAGCCAGCTTAAAAGGCATGCAGGACTGGTCCTCTGCAAGGGTGCAGGATTCCACGCCAGCACCTTGGAAATCCATTCAATCTTCGAGTCTTGGAGTCGTGCACATTCCAGCAACTCCTCACAGCAAGCCGCAACGGAGAGCTCGCCCCGGCCCCGCAGGAAGCTCTCCAGAAGGCCGATGTGAAACCAGAGGTGGGCCCGAAAGGGGCATCCCAAAGCCCTGAAGCCTGGAAGCCCTGACGAGGACCTCCAGCCCTTCCTTGATAAGATCCTCGAGCCAACCAAGCTGGACGACAAGGCGCCTTTCAATGTGCAAGGTGCCTTGGAGCCTTGAGTGGATTGGCGCAGGATCTGTCGGCATGTGCAGTACCAAGAGAATGGATAAAGCTGCATCTCTGCAGTGTCTTGGCCAGGAGATGATGCTCCCTGTTGACATGCGTGGTGTCGAGAACGTCCTGACCCTGGTTCGTTTCACACATTAACTCAGGCTTTCTCCACATGGATTCATTCCTTTGCCCACGAGGAACTTTTGGGGGGAACGGTTTCGGGCTACCACAACCTCCAACATATCCACTTTAGTCATCATCCTCATCCTCGTCACCACCCTACTCCGCTCTCACCATCACCATCACCATCACCATCAGCATCACCAACACCAACACCAACACCATCACCATCAGCATCACCACCACCATCACCATCACCATCAGCATCAGCATCACCATCACCACCACCACCACCACCACCACCACCACCACCACCACCACCATCACCACCATTATCGTCATCATCATCGTCATCATCATCATCATCGTCATCGTCATCATCATCATCATCATCATCATCATCATCATGACTATTATCGTCATCAGCATCGTCATTATCATCACCATCATCACCACCACCGCCACCATTCATCATCGTCATCATCATCATCATCGTCGTCATCATCATCATCATGACTATTATCGTCACCAGCATCGTCATCATCATCATCATCATCATCATCATCATCATCGTCATCATCGACATCACAATCACCGCCGCCATGATCGTCACCATCGTCATCATCATCATCATCATCGTCAGTGTCATCATCATCATCATCATCATCATCATCAGCATCATCGTCATCATCGACATCACAATCACCACCGCCATGATCGTCACCATCATCATCTTCATCATCATCATCACCATCGTCAGCAGCATCGTAATCCTCCTTGTTCTGTGCAGCGATCCATTACTTCTTTGATGTCGTGCAAACCACGTCGCTACGAGTTCCTGCACCTTCTTCCCAGTCATGCCTGATTCGTCCTGGTTTCGGCTGGTCCTGCATGGCCGCAGGAGTATGAAGGCATTGACGAGCTCATTGCCGAGCCACTTTCCTCAGAAGGAGGGTCGCGAGTCAACAGTCGTGAGCACAAATAGGAAAGTCCGTGACGAGGGAGAGGTATCTTGATAAACCCAGGCTTCACGGTGTAATCCAGCACTGCGTGGACCCCTGTCAAGTACTCTTCAGAATAGGCATAGCATACTGTAGCAGAAAAATGCGCACATGCGCCTCAAGCGAGGTGTCCCAAAGCCTCCAGAGTATCTGAAGCCTAGCATTCCAATGCATGTGCGTTTGGCCCAGGCTCAAGCCCATCGAGGCCTCCAAGGCACTGCTGAAAGCGAGGGAGTGCTTCCAGGTGCGGG